AATTAAGATACAACAGTTGACAAATAGAATGTTTGAAAGAAAGAAAGAAAGAAAGAAAGAAAGAAAGAAAGAAAGAAAATTATATTTACATAAATGTTATATGTTTACTATGTTCCAATGTGAAGAAAATATGTTTATGAGGTTTATAAATCATTGCATTCAGTTTTATTTGGAACAGTGGTTGTAGTTACACTCTTAATTAAGATACAACAGTTGACAAATAGAATGTTTTTTGTTGTTTATTGAGAGTTTTCAGTTGTGCATGAATTATTAGGGTAAAAAAAAGGGATGAGAGTTTATGTGACGACAATCTTCAGCTATAAATAAACCTCTCTTGCTGTTAACCTGACACCTGTTGATGTTGGGGGTCTGTGTATTGACTGAGCCATGACTTGTAAACAGTGAAGAAAAAGTGTTCAACATGCAAACATGAAAGTTCAGTTACTATCCGTCATTTTTAATAAGCTCTTATACCCTGATATATGTATTTAATACAATTATGGGGAAAAGAAAATAAAAACACATCCTTGTAATTCTTGTGTTTTTGTATTAGGATAGAATAAAATAAAATCAGATTTTTACCTTTATCTAACCACGTGTAACAGTAATAATAATAATAATAATAATAATAATAATAATAATAATAATAATAATAATAATAATAATAATGCATTAGTCATTTTATAGTGATTTTCTAGACCAGAGGTGTCCAAAGTGGGGCCAAAATTGGCCCACCAAGCCATTTGATTTGTCCCACCAGCAGTTGTCTTATGTAGAAACACTATATTTAGTCTTTTCAACTATTGGTCCAACTACTGTAAATAAGATGTAGTGTAGATAGACTTGACTCATGGTACTCACTTTATCTTTGAATTATGTTAAGATTCAACATAGAAGAGCCTCTGCTGCCTGAGCAAATGTCAAATTTTCTTCATGTCCATGGGCCGAAAAACAAACAAACAAAAAAAGTGGGCCATCACAATAATCATAAAAAATAAAACAAATTTACTTAAGAAGTATTTGCATGTCACATATATTATTGCATTTGGCCCGCTGCCCTCAGATCGATTTTAATTTTCATTTCAAATTGTTTTCATTTGAAAGGGCAATCACGTTCTAGACACTCAAAGATGCTTTACAATTTTTCACGCATTAATCATTCGTACACATATTCACACACTGATGGAGGCTGCTTTGCAACGGTGTACATACTGTAAATACATTCAACATTCCAACATGTTATTTATTTAACTAAAACAAAACAAGAAAGTGTCCTTGGAAGTGTCCTTTGGTAAGACACTTCGCCTGCCTTTGCCTACTGATGGTCAGAGGGTCCGGTGGCGCCGGTGCATGGCAGCCTCGCTTCTGTCAGCGTGCCCCGGGGCAGCTGTGGCTACAGTGTGGCTTAATAATATCCTGGTTGGATGGACCATGATATTATGAAGCCACATTGTAGCCACAGCTGCCGCAGGGCAGCTGTGGCTACAATGTGGCTTCATAATATCATGGTCCATCCAACCAGGACACTCAAAACTCTTCACACTACAATCTGTGTCCTCATTTCTCATTCACACAGCGCTCTATTAGGTCTCTACAAAGCTAACACAGACAAATCATGAAGACTAATCAGTGTCAATCACATTCATACACTGATGGGACACACACCAGAGGCATTAGGCACAACTAAAAGTCAGCACAGCACCGGGCGGTCCATGTCACACAACAGAAATGTGTGATTACGTTTCATATTCAGCGGTGGATTGATGTAGCATGTGTGAAGGGGGCAGTTTCTACGGGTGGGACACAGTCATTGGCTGTCCTCCCGCCTGAATCTCTTCTAAAACAGGGGAAGAAATTGATTGAGGTTTGTTTACTTACTGATTTATTAAAGCACCACACATTCTGTAGTTTTTCTTAGGTGAAACATGATATATTTGTTATAAAATACTGTGTGATTATTGGTTGATGATTGGTCTGGATGGCTGGACTATATTCACTCAGAGCAAGAGGTAGTTACTTGCCTGAATACATGTTAAACCTCTCTGCAGTTAAACCACTAGAAAGCAAGAATTTCATCAGGACCTGACCCGGAACAGGAAGTGTGCCCCTCCAGTGACGTTATAATAGCAGGGGTGTAAGAAAATATCGATATCTGAAATATCGCGATATTTCATTTCCCGATACTGTATCGATATTCTAAAGCCCTGTATCGATTTTTTATTCAGGTTTAAAATGTCAACTTTCCTGCCAGCCGTGCATTTTTATGTTGTAGTTCAGCCTCTGACCACTAGTTGG